CCCCATTAATCCAAACGGTACCCTAACAGCCCCCGCCAGGCCATCGGAAAGTCCTTGACCATGACCTCATAACATTATCATACCAACCCACTTTCCATTCCGGCTCTCCTAGTTCCTCTTGCCATCGTGTTGTGTTGGCACCCCATATCACTCACTCCTTCTCGAACACTTTATCGGATATCAAACCGACAGGTGAGATGTTCCATCCTGTGTATAATATTCCATATAATAATAATAAACACGATGAATAGCGGGGGCGGGGGGGGGCCATTCAGAAACTGTCATTCACAATATGTCACTCGGGATTTTGGTCTTGAGCGAGATGACCCGGACATCTGGAAAAAAGCTTGAATGAGTTGGGTGGGGTTGGTTGGATGGCGCTATGTGTCCACGATTTCTAAAGGATGTTGAGTCTTGTTTCGTGATTATGGTATCGTAGCAGGGTTATTATGGAAATGGAGAAATGACGGGCTGTTCAGGAACATGATCTATGGAAGATCCTTTCCTATTGTATAGTATCGTGCTTATCATTCGTTGGACTTCACATGTGCCGTGCGGTGGCCAATCAGCGGTGAATGTGCGCAATCCCTCTCGTCTCGTCTCATATCGAGAACCCGTGCACTCCTTTAGTCTAACAGATGAAGAATAGCAGAACGAACATGGATGAAAAAAGGATCCGAATCGACATTTTCAGCAAGATTAGTTTTTTTTTTTCCCCCACCCGGGATAGCGTTACCCACATACCTTGGCTAGAGTAGTGGCTGAGATGTCGGGAACCGGTTGGTTGGTCCCGGCGTGATTGGAAAGAGCCCTGGAGCTCAATTCCCCGGGGCTCAAAGTGAACTTTTGTTAAACAATCGGTCGTGTAGGGGAGGTGAAAAGGAAAAAAGAAGATCAATCAATCCTGTCCTATGGGGGACCTTGGCCTTATTCCATAAGATTGTAGGGCAAAATTAGCACTGCTAAAGAGTGGTATAACATCGTAGAACCAGAATCTGGACCGTATATATAAAGGCGAGTGCTGCGATCAGGAGGTACTGTAAGATGTCGGAAGAAGAAAAGAGAGGGAAATGGCGGGAGCTCCTTTCGTTTGGAAAGGAAATTGCGAGTCCCGAATATCATATCATACCATAAAGGCTCCCTGGTATGATACTGTACAAAATGTCTGAGGGTGACCACTTAACCACCAATCTCTCACACCATACATACCCTTTCACCATGGATTCCCACAAATTTAGAGTGTTTTCTCAAAGGAAAAACAAGCAAACAAACAAGAGTCAAGTATGGATAGCTAATACCAATAGAGGATATAAACCCAGTACGATAACCGTACAATACCAATTTCAGCAAAGCCCAAACTTCTGCCAGATATTTTTTTTTAGAAATTCACCAATAGAGAGAAAAAAAAAAAAAAAGACAGCTCCATTCCTGATGCCTTTTGTATGTCTTGAAAGGAGGAAGAGGTCAGAAGGGGGACCCAGTCCCATTCGAATTATAGCCTCCGGAACCCCTCCACTTGCATTGATCGATTCGCAAAGAGGGATAAGTTACTCGTTATCGACGGGCATAAGTCGGTCGAGCCCCCGGCCACTCCGTCAGGACTCACGATCCGGTTTCCGGGAAAAAGCCATCCCTGCCGTTGTCCCCACTCAATCACCCCGTTTGCCCCCGTGCTCGCGAAGCAAAGAATTCGATACTTTCATCCACTCTTCTGTTATATGTCGGTCAGTCGGCTTGTGAGTGAGTATGACCGCTCTAGGCTCACTTGGAAGAATATGGCGCATGGCTAGTAGCCACTCCCAGCTCGCTCGCAGCCAAGCCATCCAACCGGGTCTTTCTTCTTTCATTGTCGACATTGCTATCGCATCCGTGATACCTCCCCTCATCACCGGGATCTTGCCGTTAGTATGGTGTTCTTAGGGCGCTATGCGTGCCAACCGGCAGTGTGTGTGTGACACAGTAGCAACGAGTGATGGGATGGGTAATCGTCTCGAAGCCACCGCCAAAGGCTACGCAAGGAAATTGTAAGACTGGATGTTTCACTCTGAAGTGCGGCCCTCTCCGGCTTTTTTTTTTCTACCGAAATTTTATAGGATCTTGCTTATCAGAGAGGCAGAAGCTTGATCTTCGCTGTAACTATGCGGTACCGAACGGGTCTATCTTCTTTTAGTCTGACTCGTAGCAACTATTCAGGCATGACTTTCATTCATTCGGGGAGATACGGTCTAACGGGGGGGGGTATTAGTGAAAGGGTGGTTTTGTGATAAATGGGCACCCCCAGATCAGCCCAGATGTGCTAGTATTTGAGAGAAGAGGGTCTATACTGTACCGCGTCCAGGGCCCACGATTTCTATTACAAAAACCCGAGGGGGGAGGAAGGGAAAAACCCCCTTTTCAATAATTCTTGCCTTAAATTTTTGTTTCACTTTTCCTTCTACCACCATACCCAGACGGTCGCGGGCCACACCCCTATGATAAGAGTATGGTCTGGGGCCGGATTCTGCTATCCCGCAGCAGTACTGAGTTTTCCCTATAACATTGCTGAGTAAGGCTAAGGTCTTTAGTCTCCTAGTTCCCACAGGGGGGGATCCTTTAATTATCCTGCCCTGCGTGATGGTTTGTTCGTTAATAACTCCTGCTACAGGAGTCGAACCTTTGGGATCCCGCTAATTGCACAGGGGTTAATTGATTCTTGACATTTTAACCACTGCGCTAGCTAGGTATTTCATTTAACATTACCTTGGGAGCAAACTCTTATCCCGCCCGCAGGGTAATTTAGACTTGGCCCGACGCTAATGATAACGATACATTGTTATCAAACATTGAAGTAGAAGATACATCCCCAAGAAAAGAGAAGTCGTGAACGTTGACTATGGATACCCAACAACTTCCTTTCCTATAAACAATCACAGCCGGAATATCGAGGAGGAAAAATAGTAGGCTCGTCTGTGAAGGACGAGGTATGGAGGCTAGGGGGACCAAAGATATACGGCCGAAGGCGGCCAGAAATCCGTGCGTGTATAAGCGTATGATATAAAAAGGCACTCAGCCCGACCCCCAGGTGGGGGCCACTCAACTAAAGAAGACGGGCAGAAAGGGAATTACATCACAGCCGAGTGAGAAATTGTGAAAACACATCCTATATTATAGGCCGAAACGAGATCGCTTGCCAATGCTTGGGCGCTCTGTGAGCCACACACGCCATGATTGCCTGTACATCTAACATAGATAATTGCTAAGTTGGAGGTTAGTAATTTCCAGAGACAGAGAATGATGAAGATCCTTGAAAGAGGTGGAGGGTTTTGGAGGGAGGGAAGAAGCTGGAAGCAGGTATGGAAAATTTGGAGACTTAATTGAAGCAAGGAGGTTAAGATTGTATCCTCTAACGCCTCCACTCAACTTCCCGGGATAAAAAAAGGCTGGCGTATTGATCACATATGTTCAGGAAAAAAGGATTTAACTTGGGCCACTAAGAATCTAAGGCTGTCCCGTGGACAAATTGTCGCCGCTTTGGTATAGTTCGGGCGAACTTTGCTGTTATTTTTTCAGTAGCTGTGCCGCCATTCCGAATGATACCCGACAACTTTGTTGTTCTAAGAGGTTAGAGAGGGCTTGTGCTGTTGTTAGTCTTGGGTGGTGGATAAGCTACCGTTGAACTGTGGATGGAATAAAAAAGGCTATGATACCTCCGTGGAGAGTAGGATTTCTAGGACACTTCGACCTACCGAAAGGTACAAACGAAATATCATGTACCGAAGATTTCAAGCCCCGTGTTACACAGCTGAACCTAGCTTGGATGCACCCGCAGGGTTCGGTCCCCGCGCCAAAAATTTTCACGATTCTTCTGAGGATGAATTTACACACAAGACCGTTCAATACTGGTGCTATTTCGTCTCTATCAATTCACAGGCGAGAACCCACCAAACCAACTACGATATCATAATTATGATACATAGGAAATTCGTCCCGGTCACTCACCTAATTATATCCCTAACGTTTAATGTCCGGGTTGCTTGATACTAGTTCTAGCTTTCAGAGATGGCTGTTTACCAGCTGTCTACTGCTCTGTTCCCATGCCATTGGCGTCTTCCATCCAAGTTTGTTCTCACTGTAGGCGTCTTTCCTTTCACCACCTCCCCTTTTCTTTTCTTTTTTTTTCCCTTCACTTTTCCTTCCCCCCCCCCCCTCCCTGAAGTACCTGCTTTTCCCAAGAATCATTCCATACGACTGACCCAAGAGTATCCATCTTTCTACCCTCTAAATTTAGCTCGTCAAACCCCCTCACGCTCTCTCCTCCCCCAACAGTCAAATCTGCCGCGCGCATAACACATAACCCATGATTCCCCTCAGGACACAAC